GATTAAGCTTCATCAACAAACTCAGAAGACAAAAACAGCTTTGAGGGAGGACCAAAAGTATGCATTTCCTGGCATTATCGCTTGCACCCACCAAGGGAATGATTCTGGAAGTGCCCGTGCACATCAGAAGAGCCTTCCTTCCCCTTCTATATCCTGCTTCTGTTTGAAACTGGGAAGGGCCCGTGGCTCAGTGGTAGAACATCTGCTTGGCATGCCGAAGGTCCCAGGTTTACTCCCCAGTGTCTCCAGATATAAGGATCCAGGAGCAGAGGATGTGAAAGACCCCCAACCTGAGATCCTGGAGAGCTGCTGCCAGTCTGAGTAGACAACACGGACCTTGATGGACCAAGGGTCTGGTTTAGTAGCAGGCAGCTTCATGTGTCCACGTGAAATCTTTAACTCTGGATCTATTGAAGATCACACCTGATGCGGCAAGCAAAGTCTGAGACTGTGAAATGTGGGCTTCCCGACGTATTCCCTGTTGTGTAGCAAAGAGGGTGACCGAGTTGAAGCAGGACTCCCTGGGTTCACGTCCTTGCCCAGCTATTGAGTCCACAGGGCGACTCAGGGCCAGTTACTGTCTCTTGACCTAGCCTACCTCCCTGGGCTGAGAGCTACTGTGGGGTTGTGGTTGCAGCATCAGACTAGGCCAGGGGTGGCCAAACTGCGGCTCGGGAGCCACATGCGGCTCTTTCACACGCATGGTGGGGCTCTCGGCAGGGCGGCTGGGGAAGCGAAGGGGAGGCATGCCTCCCCGATCAGTCTTCCCTTCCCCTGACAATGTTCCCCTCCCTGGGTAGGCTTGAGGTATGTGTGTGTGCGTGTATGTGGGGGAAGCAGAGAAAGAAAGCCACTTTAACTTTAAATGCATTCTCAAAGCTCCACCCCCCTCCAAGCCGGCTGGCTCGGAGAAGGCATTTGTCTCTTTAAATCACTTATCCAAGCCCAGCTGGGGAGTGTGGGGCTTGGAGGACAAAATTAAAGTTGCTTTCTTTCCACCTCTCTCCCTCCCCCCCATCTATTTATTTACTTTCCCCTTTCTTTTCTTTCACTTTTCCTCTTTCTCTTCCTTCCTTTCCCCTCCCTTCCCCACAGGCCCGTAGCCAACATGGGGCCCACGGGGACCGGCCCCCTAGCGTTTCTTCTGGGCCCCTCCCTCCTGGGCTGGCCTCAAAGTACCTCAACGGGTTGCCCGTGCCATGCTGCCTCCGACCTGGCTGCCAGACGACTGAGCACCTTGGCCACTTCCCCACTGGCCTCGCTCCACTCCCAGCCAGCAACACCAAGAACGGCAGTGGCGGCAACAGAGGTGGCCGCAGTCCCGGCAGCAGGAGGTGCCTGTCTTGCTCCGTGGGGTGGTGGGCGGGCAGGCAGGCTTGCTGGGCTAGCCTGACTGAGTGAGTGAGTGAGCTGGGGAGAGCGTCCTGCTGCCTCTTCCCACTCCCACCACCATTGGATCTCTTCCCCCCCTCCAGTCCCCCTCCTGAATGCCGCTGCCCGCTTCTCCCTGCCTAGTTTCACAATGAGCAGGTATGCAGTGCTCCGGGGGAGAGGGGAGGCTGCGGCTGCCGGGCATTACCCCCACACACACACACTTGCCTTGGAGTCTGGGTGGGTGTGTATGCAGGGCTGCCTTTAGGGGAAGGCTGGCTTCTAAGGAGTTTCACTAATGAACTTTGCTGGTGCCCCCACCCCCAGGCCCCATCCCCAAAATATCCCTAGCAACGGGCAGGCCCGTAGCCAGGATTTTTTAAGTCAGGGGGCATTTACATTTCTTAGGGGGCACTGGCTAATCAATTTAATCTGGGGGAGAAGGCCATGACAACCTGGGCGGGATGGGAAGTTGGGGGGGGCCTTGCCAGCAAGTCGGGGGGCCTAGCCCCAAGATGCCCCACTGTAGCTACGGGCCTGGCTATGGGGCTGCTTCCCCATCTATCTGCCCCCCCTCTCTATTTCTCTCTCTGACAAATATTATTAGCAAACAAATAAATAACGTTGGACAAATAAATATCATTAGCAATATTTGGTTTTTTACCCCTTTTGGTTTTATTTTTGGCAGTCTCATTTAATGTTAATAAAAAACAAAATTGCATATTTCCCAATAAAAACAATGTTAATAAAAAGCAAATTTGCATATTTCCCAATAAAAACATGTGTGTGATATTTGTCCGTGTCTTGCGACTCTCGAACGTCTGACATTTATCCTATGTGGCTCTTACTTTAGGCAAGTCTGGCCACCCCTGGACTAGGCTGTCAGAGACCAGTGGCTGAATCTCAGATTCATGGAGGAGAGGTCCATCAGTGGCTACTAGCCATGGAGACTAAAGGGAAACTCCATGTTCAAAGGCAGTAAACCTTGGAAGACCAGTGCTAGGAAGCAACGTCAGGGGAAGGCCTTGGCCTCTATACCCTGTTGACTCCAGAGTAACCTGTTGGCCGCTGTGCGAGACAGGATGCTGGGCTAGATGGACCATGTTCTTGAGAACATACTAGGTGCACTGCCCAATCAAACCAATGGTCCATATAGTCCCTCACAATGACCAACCAGTTCCACTGGAGGACCAACAACTGGGACATGCAGCTGGGGCCCTCTGCTGATGTTGCCTCCTAGAAACATGAGACAGGAGACATTTGAGACGTGAGAGCTTACATGGAAAGAGCGAGAAGTTGTTTCTGAAATGTGCATCCATGTCTGTCACCCTGAGCACCTTGGAGGAAGACCGATATAGAAATGTGAACAGAGTAACCTGTTGGCCACAGTGCGAGACAGGATGCTGGGCTAGATGGACCATGTTCTTGAGAACATACTAGGTGCACTGCCCAATCAAACCAATGGTCCTTTTAGTCCCTCACAATGACCAACCAGTTCCACTGGAGGACCAACAACTGGGACATGCAGCTGGGGCCCTCTGCTGATGTTGCCTCCTAGAAACATGAGACATGAGACAGGAGAGACATAAGAGCTTACATTGAAAGAGTGACAAGTTGTTTCTGAAATGTGCATCCATGACTTTCACCCTGAGCTCCTTGGAGGAAGACCGATATAGAAATGTGAGAGATAAACTTGACCGAAGCTCCAAAATGTGACTTATCGGTCCTCTCACCTCTACTGTCTGGGACCCCATCTGTATCCTTGCCATCACCTTTCTGGGAGAGCTGCCATTTCTATGAACCAGTTGGCTGCTCATGAGAAAGCACCGCCCCTCTTGTTCCCAGTGACAGGTTTTGGAGCACAGCTCAAAGTTCTAGCAGTTCCCTTTAAACCACTAAGTGGTCTGGGACCACCAGGGTACTTAAAGGACTGCCTGCTCACATAAGCTCCTCCCTACTAACTTGGGTCATCAGCCAAGGCCCTTCTCTGTGTGCGTCCACTTTGGAACAGCAGGTGGGCAGCTACTTGCGGAGAGGGCCTTCTGTGTGGTGGCACCCATAGACCATCCTCAACTGTCCTTCTGGCAACCCAGTTGCTTCTGATGCCAACTCCTTTCATATCTACCTAGGCATTTGATGAACAGCACTGATGTGTTTCGTTCTGTTCTGTTTTCCATCCCCGTCTCCCATCTGAGCATTTTACATTTTAATTCTATTTGTCTCAGCTGCTGGATGCTGCTTTGGCCCTGCTGCTACACTATCTAGTTGACTATACCAAACCCCTCCACTTCGGAAAAGCAGGTGGGCAGCTACTTGCGGAGAGGGTCTTCTGTGTGGTGGCACCCATAGACCACCCTCAACTGTCCTCCTGGCAACCCAGTTGCTTCTGATGCCAACTCCTTTCATATCTACCGAGGCCTTTGATGGACAGCACTGGTGTGTTTCGTTCTGTTCTGGTTTCCATCCCCGTCTCCCATCTGAGCATTATACATTTTAATTCTATTTGTCTCAGCTGCTGGATGCTGCTTTGGCCCTGCTGCTACCCTGTCTAGTTGACTATACCAAACCCTGGGTGGCCCCTGGTTTGCATGTAAGCCAATACATTTATAAGTGATAGGGAGATCTGTCCTCAGAAGGTGTGGCTCTTGAGATTCAGAGACGGAGCAGTTTCATGAAATATCTCAACCACTTGCCTGAAGAAAGGCTATTGTTGAAACTTGCATGAAGACACATGAAGATGCCTTATACTAAATCAGACAACTGGTCCATCAAGGTCAGTATTGTCTACTCACACGGGCAGTGGCTCTCCAGGGTCTCAGGCAGAGGTCTTTCACAACACCTACTGCCAGATCCTTTTAACCGGAGGTGCTGGGGATTGAACCCGGGACCTTCTGCAGGCCAAGTGGATGCTCTACCACTGTGCCACAGCCCCTCCCACAAACTTGGTGTTGTCTACTCAGACTGGTAGTGGCTCTCCCGGGTATCAGGCTGAAGTCTTTCACATCACCTACTGCCTGGTCCCAGGGGTGTAGCCAGAAAATATTGGGTGGTGAGGTGTTGGGAAATATGGTGGTGTGAGGGAGCAGGAGAGAGGGGGCAGGGAGAGAGAAAAGACCTACCCCCTGCCACTCTGACTGTCAGAGAGGCAAGGGCTCACTGGATGTCCTTCCTGCTTCTGCATCCAAAGTCGGCTGCAGAAGCAGGAAGACCTCCCCCCATGCCTCTCCAACTCGGAGATTGCTTGGAGATGTGGCGCACAAAGGTAACATTTATTTTAATTCTGGGAGCAGGACTCCATGGGGCATGGGTGTTGAGATGGGGGCGTGGCCCCATGATGCCCCACCGTGGCTACACCCCTGCCTGGTCCTCTTAACCGGAAATGCTGGATACGGAACCCGGCACCTTCTCCATCCAAAGCATGAGGCTCTTCCACTGAGCCGCAACCCCTCTCCAACAGAACACCCTCTCTGTCGTGAGGTCGGTTTGTTTCATCCGAACAACAATGCACAGCAAACCGCCAAGGAAAAGGACCCAACAAGTGACCAGCTCAAATACGGAAGACGCACCAACCAGCGATCAACTCGAGGCGGGCCCAAGGCGGAAAGAGGAATGAACCCAACGGGAAATACCTGGTTGATGGAGATCACAGCCAGCCGGGGGATGACGATCTGCATGACGAGCTGCAGGAGGGAGGTGACCAATCCGGCCAAGATGGCCCAGGTGAGGGGCAGAGGCAGCATGCTGTAGGTGACAAAGAGGGTGAAGAGCACGTAGCCAATGCCGTCCCCCAGGAGGCCGCAGCCCAGGCCGGCAGCCAGGATCTGGGTGGCCATGGCCACCCAGGTGACCACGCCGCTGTACTGGAGATAGGTGTAAGAGGTCGTGTCCTTCCTGACCACCACTAAGGCACAGATGACCACCTCGATGCCCGTGAAGAAGCCCAGGAGGATGCCCTTGACGGGGTCCATGGGGGCCAAGGCCAAGGTGAGGTGGAGCAGGAGGAGGGTCAGCTTGGTCAGCACGTCCAGGACATTCACCACCACCTCCGACTTGCGCCGCTGGCCCAGGAAGTAGCGCTGGTAGAGGCGCTCCAGGTCCCGCGACTTGAAGGAGTTGCGCAGGGTGGGGAAGATCACCCCCCGGTAGGTGTAGCCCCAGTTGAGGAAGAAGTCCGAGTTGCTGGGAGCGCACTCCAGGTGCAGGAAGCCCAGGTCCCCGCTGCTGCTGGCGCGCTCCGGGAAGACCTTGGTGCCCCCGTTGTTGTGGCCGCTGAGGCCCTTGCCCGCCGACTGGCGCCGAGGGTGGTGAGAGTGGTTGGGGCAGCAGGCCTCCTCCGAGCCCAGCCCCTTGACGTGCTCCTGGATGAAGCGCTGCTCCGTGATGTGGCGCACGGCCGTCTGCCACAGCAGGCGCTGGGAACGGGCCCCGCCACTAGGGGGCGTCTGGTTGATGGTGTACAACTCGTCGCTGTCGCTCAGGCAGCGCACCTCGGAGAGCTCCATCATCAGGATGGGGCGGGGCGCGGGGGGGGAGAATGCGTATCACATTGAGGGCTTGCCCCCTGCCCCCCTGGGTGTGTGGGGGAGGGTCAGTGGGTTATTTCAGAAGCAAGGCATCTCCCCATGCCTCCTTTGGCACTGTATATCCCTTGGCATGGGTCGCTGGCTTGGGAAAGGGCATCCCTGTCCACCCCCAGGTATCACAGCGCGGGGGGGTGGAGAACAGGAGGGGTGGCGAGGCCAGTCAAGTGAAATCAAAGCTCATTGGCCCCCGCTCAGTACCCTGGAGTCCGAAGGCGAGAAGGGAAAGGGGGCTACAGGCAAGCCAAATGTACCCCTCGGATTCAGAGGTCCGGTCTTCGCAACTGAGGACCAGGCGGTAGCATCCATCCCGCAATCCGCAGGCACGACCTGGAGCCGGACATAGGCAGCGGCCTTATGTCAAACCGGAGCATCGGTCCAGTGTCAAACCAGAGAATCCAGCCCAGTCTCGGCGACGCAGACTGGCCGCGGCTCTCCAGAGCTGCGGGCAGGACTCTTTCTCCCCCCACCCAAGCCCGGCTACCTGAGCTCCTTGTAACCGGAGAAGCCAGCAGGGACCGACTTTCCTGGACTCGGTGCAGGCGGTCTCCCACTGAGCCGTCGCCCCTTCGAGGACAGCGCGCGGCGAGCTTATATAATCGATATACATCTATATTAGAGGAGATTATATAGTTCACGACGAGAGCATGCAACTTCTCCGGAAGCCTCCAGGACAGGGGAGGGAAAGGGAGCGAGAGAGGCAGAGAGCTTCGGGAAACAGGATTTGCGGTTTTCAAACAGGTACCTATTATCTGTACAGATGCAAAGGGGGGGGGGGGGGGAGAGCTCGCGGAGTTCTCCGGCTCGGTCTATAATCCTCGAGGAAGTCTCCTATCGAGGAGCAGCCATCCGTGCCAAGAGGCGAGAGAACAGACGAAGGGATTAAAAAAACAGCCACACAACAAAACAAAACCGAAGGCGAAGCGGAAGAAACTCGCTCCAAGAAGGGGGGACGTTCGGCGGGTCTTCGTTATCACTCCTGAAACTGACAAGGCGGCCGGTGGTCCAGGCGGGAGGCCAGGCGTGAAACTGACAAGGACAACGGAGCCGGCGGCTCTCTCCGTCCGGCCGCGTCTCTCCAAGCGCGCGCGGCCAGCGACCCCGCGGATGCCGAACGACTCCAGCTGCCGGGGGGGGAGCAAAGAGTTTTCCTTTTCTTCCTCGAGATCGGCGACTTGCGGCGATACATGGCCGGCCGGGGGCGCGGGGAGGGGGGGGGCAAAGCAGGCAGCCGCCGAGCAAGTGAGGCTCAGCTCCGGGTCACTTCAGCCCAGGGAGGGGAAGGAGAGGCGCTGGAGGCGGGATCCATCGCTCGCCGCCGACTGCTTCGTGCGATCTAGCGGAGAGGCGGCGATCCTCCTCCTCCGGGGGGGGGGCAGCGCTTCCCACGCCACTTTCGGGACGACTTTCGATGCCTCCCGCCGCCCCTTTCCCAGGGAGAGGATCCAGCCGGCCGAGCTTCCAGCCGCGGGGTTTTAGGAGAGGCGGTCGAAGCGAGGCGGGCGAGCGCGCCCTTTGGCGCAGTGGCCCCGGGATGGCCGGAGTTGGGAGCTGCCGCTGGGCACCGACGCCGCTCCCGCTCCCGGCGCCCTTCCCGCTCCCGGCGCCCTTCCCGCTCCGCGCAGCCCGGCCATCCGCTCCCGTCCGCCGCTGGGCTAGCAACCGAGCATCGCGCCCGACCTGGCTCGTGTCAGTTTCACAGGCGAGCTCCCGACGCCCGGCCGGGCCGAAGCAGCGCCGCCAGGATTAGCCCCGGCGCAGGACCGGCTGGCGCGTCTCTCTCGCTCTGTCTTGCAGCCGCCGCCGCTTCTACTGGGAAAGGCAGAGCCCGGCTCGGTCAGCTGATGGCCCAGTGACGTCAGGCCCGAGTGCGCTGCCCCCCCTCGCTTTGCGCCCACTTAAAGAAGAACCAACCCCCCCCCCCCGCGGGCGGGGCAGAAAACGGGGGCC